ATCTCAGGAACATTGCTAAGCTGAGTCCCATTCTGTCCCGCTCCGAACTTGAGACAGTTCTCCACACCTTCATCTCCTCACGCTTAGACTACTGTAACTCTCTTTTCACGTGTCTGAGCAGAACCTCCCTTAACCGTCTACAGGTGGTTCAGAATGCCTGTGCTCGGCTTCTGACCAAGTCCTCCAAACACACCCACATCACCCCGCTTCTCCTCCAGCTTCACTGGCTGCCAGTCAACTTCAGGGTTCATTTCAAGATCCTGGTTCTGGTCTATAGGGCCTTACATGGACAAGCACCATTTTACATTGGTGATCTTCTTAGTCCCTACACCCCCAGCAGGTCCCTGAGGTCCAGTGATCAAAGCCTACTGGTTGTGCAGCACCAGGCTAAAGACCAAAGGTGACAGATCATTTGCTGCTGTGGCCCCCAGACTCTGGAACTCTCTCCCCCTGAGCCTGAGATCAGTGGACTCAGTGGTCTCCTTTAAAAAGCAGCTGAAAACTCACTTGTTCAAGCTGGCTTTTGTATGACCTTCTTCACCACTCTCTCTTTATTCTGCTCTCCCCACCTATTCCACCTTCCTCAGGATCCACTGATTTCCCTCTTTCCTATTCACTCTCTCTCTCTTTCTTAACATTTTTGAAATCACAATTGTCTATTTTTGCTCATTTTAGATATATATAGGGCTGCATGGTGGCGCAGTGGTTAGCACTGTTGCCTCGCAGCACGAAGGTCGCATGTTCGAAACTCGGCTGTGGCCTTTCTGCGTGCAGTTGCGTGTTCTCCCCATGCATGCGTGGGCTTCCTCCGGGTGCTCCGGTTTCCCCCACAGATTACAACATTCCCTGTAGGTTATAAATTGTAAGTCGCTTTGGATAAAAGCGTCTGCCAAATAAATAAACATAAACATAAATAAATCAAATCAAATGACTTTCATTACATAGCTAATTATTTAGATCATGTGGTAGAATATTCCATTGGCTTTCTTATTTCACCAAACCCATCACACTATTTCTTTCAACTTCCTATAATTTACTTTTTATCACTCTTATTTTTTTTTTCATACCCAATTAATTTTGTTCAGATTTTCTTTGAATAAAAAATTGTCATGTGGTGGGAGGAAGTACATCCTGACCCAACAAGGAAACACAGCTATGCACCCTTACATTATCTTAGTGTATGGCTTTGGTAAACAACCTTGATGAGATTCTTGGGACCACATCTATTACAAATCTTGGCGTCATTTCTGGCTGCTTTTTCAAACTAGAAAAACAAAGTCAGTTCCAGATGTCGAATCAAGCATTTTTTTTCTACATCCATTAGTCAAAGTAAAATCCTGGTTCTATTTTATAAAGTAAAAAATAATTCATTCATTCATTTATTCATTTATAGAGCACCTTCCACAACCTTTAGCAGAAGCCCAAGGTGCTGAATACAACAATAAAGCAAATCATGGAAATCTCATAAATATTAGAACAAATTCAACTGAGCAGAAAACTAGAAAAATTAAATGTGGGTTGTTGAACATTAGATCCATTTTTTCTAAGACTTTGTTAGTTAATGACTTGATTTGTGATAATCAGATCTCTGCTCTCTCTCACAGAATCCTGGCTGCAGCAAGAGGACTATGTTAGCTTAAATGAGTCGACTCCTTCAAATTATTTAAATCATCATATTGCTCTAAGTACAGGGCGAGGAGGAGGAGTAGCAACCATTTTTCATTCGGACTTATTAATCAGTCCCTTACAGATTAATAGCTACAGTTCTTTTGAACATCTTATTCTTAGTTTTCCTTATCCAGATTGTTAAACTGTAAAACCACTCTTGTTTGTAGTTTCATATCGTCCACCAGGCCCTTACTCCGAGTTTTTGGATCAGATCTCTGTTTTTTTTAATCAGATTTGGTGCTAAATACTGATAAGGTCATTGTAGTGGGGGATTTTAATATTCATGTGGACATTGAAAATGATTGCCTCAATGTAGCCTTTAGTAATACCTTAGACTCAATTGGTTTTACTCAAAGAATACATAGCTCCACCCACTCCTGCCATCATACACTAGACCTTGTGCTGACTTATGGCATAGAGTGTGAGGAAATAACAATCTTTCCACATAATCCAGTCCTCTCGGACCACTTTCTGATAACCTTTGAGTTTTTATAACTGAGTTCTCGAGACATGAAAGTAAATTTCACTATAGTCGGTCTGTATCTGACAACGCAGTTGCGTCTTTTAAATCAACTGTTCCATCTTTACTGTCCTCAGCATCTCAGAGGCATGTAGCAGAGGGCAATATTTTCAGTTCTAGCCCCTCACAAATTGATGCCTTAGCTCATCATGTTAATTCCTCTTTACGTGTGGCATTAGATGATGTAGCCCCTTTAAAAAAGAAGGTAATTAGGGACAGGAAGTTGGCTCCCTGGTTTAATTCTCATTTACGAGCCTTAAAACAAAACTCTAGGAATTTGGAGCAGAGGCGGTTTTACCATTAGGCATAGGTAGGCGGCCGCCTGGGGCCCCCTAGTGGTGGGGGGCCTCCTAGCCTTGACCGTCGGCACCCCTGTACAATATTCTTATTACCAACCTGTGGCCGCAGACGGGATTGGACATGCGCACTTCTCATTACCATAATTCCTGAACCCTTCAAGATATCATTAAAATTCCAAAAGTGCTGAAAAGATTAAAAATGGGGCTTTTCGTGCATATACAATACATTACGGTAGCCACCGGGATTCCCTGTCTTGAGCGCACCGAATCACAACAAAGATTCAGAGACGTGCTGAGTTTGTCATCCAAAATGCTCCGTTTTATAACTTTTGAACGGCTGATCAGATTCAAATAATTCCAACGGTTCCTAAAAGTACATAAAAGCAGCTTTCCAACGATCTATAGCATGAAGCAATCAGAGTTATGGAAAATATCGCTACGAGGGGAAATCCTGCTGTACAGCCTGATTGAAACGGAGCGCAGCGCCGTGGTGAAAGCGGATAACGGAACGGGGAAGCTAATCAGCATAAAAGCCAGCATGAAATTATGGAAATGCCTCAAAGAAAATCAACACGATCTATTAGGTGTCCCAGAAGGCTTATATCTGAAGTCAGTGACCATGAAGAAGGACAGATCTCCAGTGAACCAGGATATGAATGTTTGTTCAGTCTTTATTTTTTATTTTTTTATTTTAACAACCCTCAACTATTTGCTAATTGTAAGATTCAGCTTCATTCCAGCATTATTTATCCTTTTACAATAAATAATTATTTTTGCTAAAACAAAAGTTTCTGGTATAGCAGTACACGGTGTGCCAAAGAAGCACCCCAGTGTATGAGGTGTGACTCTGCCTGCAGCTGGAGAGAAACTGCTTCAAGGTCTACCACATCAAATAAAAACGTCTGAAAGTTTACAATAGTAAATGGTCTTAAAAACAGCTAAAAAAGATAACAAGGTTCAAACTTTTTAAAGAATAGATGCATTTCAGTTCAAAGTTTAAATTGTTTACCCAGTAATTTTGAAGTTCCTGTTCAGTAAGAAATGTAAAAAATTCAAATCCGTTTTTTGCTTTTTTCACTTTGAAGCTGATTTTTTAAAGGCTTTAATAGACATAAATTCTAAATACAAACCACACACTGAAAGCTGAGGTTGTTCTGAAAAAAGGAGAAGAGTTACACACACTTTGTACTTTTTATTACAATTTTACAGCCATAAGATTAAAAACATACCAGGCGGCCCTGTTATAATTATGGTCTTAAGAGGGTTATTAAGACGGCGATGCACAAACAGGAAGTGATTGGTAGTCATTCCACTCCAATACAGTTGGTGGCGGTAATGCATCAAATTGTTGTTTGCCAAGTGCCATGGGACCACAAACAAGAAGAATAAGAGAGGTGGGAGCGTTCGTAACAAACTCAAAGCAATAGTAAAACATTAAGCATGAAATGGAGTTATCCTAGTGGCTCCAATAAGAGAAAGAAGCAGCATGCTTCATAAAAGCTTTTACTTTCACTTCTGAAAGTGACGTCGTTTCTCGATGTAAACATCAAAAGGAGGCAGAAAGGAAAGACAATGGAAAATGTTTAAAGGGAGGAAAACATAGACCAAAATGGAAAATAGAAATAAAATAACAAAGGCAAAAGCAGGAGCACTGACAGGAAGAAGAAAGCACTCAAAGGGAGAGAAAAACAGGAAAAAAGAGGAGGACTAATAAAAAGTGAAAATAAATCGTGTCAGAAGAGGGTAGATTTTCGCAAATCCAGTTAAAGGTAAGATTGTCGAAAATTTAGTGTAAGAGGCCCCATGTATGTGTTCGCCTTGGGCCCCCAAATTGCTAAATCCGCCCCTGAT